AATAAAAGATTTTTAATGGAAATTTTAGTAACGTAACGCCAGATAACGTCACATCAGATAATTCAGCCGATTAAACACAAATCAGAAAAGATATTTACATTTGAAAATTGAAAAGTAACCTTAAACAATTCTAATATTACTACAAAAACTTTTATACACACAGTCTTGCCCAATTCGCAGGGTTTTGAAATTTTGTAATCGAAGGCAAAATCTCTTTCTGTATTTTGTAACGTCACGCCAGCGCGTAACTTTACTAATAACTTTAAATCGCTACTACCAACAGTTGTAATTTTGTTACTGAATAAGGACCCATTTAATTGCTATGCAGATCTAGAAACACCTTTTTATACCCGAGCGCACTTGTGCACAAGGGTATTATAACGTTGTTCACATAGCGGTTGTTTGTAACAGGCAAAACTAATCGAGATAGATATAGACAAATGTATACATAAATGATCAGAATGAAAAGCGAAATCGATTAAGCGGTGACTGTTGGTCCGTTCGTCCGTCCGTCTATGCACACGATAGCTCGAGTAAAAATTGAGGTATATTAATGGGCAAAATCGGACAATAACCACGCCTACCTCCCATATAACGGTAGTTTTCAGAAATACGAAAACTGCGATATTTTAGTAACTACTGAAGATTCTTCACTCAAAATTGATATTTACAATGATTTTTAGACGTAAAATAAGAATATTATAAATTTTTGGAAAATGGGCGTAGCCGCTAATTTATTCAAAATTGATGCTTGCAACAATTCTTTATCAATAAATATGTTTATGATAAGATTTTGTGAAATGGGCGTGGCAACGCCCACTTATGATCACACATACATATGTAACTCGGTAACCGTTCAACCAATTTGTACCAAATTTGGTACGGTTATTGTGCTTGCCATATAAACAAAACCTTGAAAATTATTGAAATCGGACTAAAATTACGGCCATTTTTCATATATGGAAATGAAATAGAAATAGAAATGTTTGAAACTTCTATATCTCGAAATTTAAGGACGCTAATTTACTGAAAATTCATATTAACAACAATCCCTTGAAAAAAGAAGTAATACTATTTGGAGCTTTGGAGAATGGGCATGAGACCGCCCACATATGAACATATAAGTTTGTCTCATTGTGTCTAACTGAACATTCTATCAAAGATGTTTAAAATAGGGGTAAAACCACCCCAGCTTACCATGTAGCAGTAGTTTTCGGAAAGGTGAAAAACATATATTTAATACTTGCGCCGGGTATTTAATGTTCGGCTCGGCCCGAACTAAGGCTTTCTCACTTGCTTCCCTGCAGTGAAACCCCAAACTAGTCAGGAAAAATACTAGTTTACAACTAGAATTTCCTGACTGAAACCGAACTATTTCGAAAATTACCAGACTTGTACGAAGTAAAAACGATCTATTCATGCCCTGTTTTATTTGACTTCGACAGTTTAATACAATAGGCTACACTAAATATTATATCTTTTATTTGGGTATATTGTAAACCGTTAAAGCGAGTCCGTACTCGCCATTATACCATACCTCTTAAATAATGATTAATATTCATAATGATTCATAATTAATTACTTAAACAAAAATGTTTAATTATTTCGTTAATTTTAATTACATCATTACTTTGTTATTTTTGAGTATTTTCAATCATCTTTGACTTTTTTAATTACACGATTAAATAATTATTTGATTAATTTCAATTATCAATCAACAAGCCAAAGTATAGACAAAAATTAAGAACATTTAATAACTGCTTGAATTATTTATTTATTTTATTCTTATTCGAATCTCAAATTTTAAATTTAAAAAATTTTAAAAAGAAAGGACTGAAATGTGCAAAGTTAATGAATTTAATTTATTTCAATGAAAACTTTTATCTTTATTTTAGTTCACTCAACAATAAACTTAAGTGTTAGTTTTATTTTTAACCAAAATGTTTTCTTTTGCATATTCAATATTATTAAAAAAGATAAAAATATAGTATTTATTGTACCTGAAAGCTTTTACTTTTAATAACGTTTAATGTATAATGCATTTAAACTTTGGTTCGAAAGTTTGAAGATTTATGTATCTATTTATTTTCCCTTTTTATTAATACTCAAACAATTTAACACTAATTATTGGCAAATCTAAGCTAAATAAAAATATGTAATGTATTAAAGTGTACTTAATCAAAAGACTAGAATTTTTCTGTCTATTTTGAACTAGTATGAGACTGGTATATTTCTGACCAAAATCTGACAATTGCCCTCTCGTAGGACATCCCCATGTTAAAAATACCAGTTGATTGCATGGAAAAAAGATAGTTGGCTGACTAGTTGGGCATGCGGTTCATACTAGTTGTGAGGTAGTTCACAAATAGTACATTTGACTCCAGGGTTGTTAATGATTTCAATGTAAAAGACCTGATCTTTCGATTGAGATAACTAAAAACAATATTAAAAATTACCATAAATGAGAAAAATTACAAATAAATTTTCGTTTAGAATTTTCACCATGCCAATGGAAAAATTTTGGAAAACGCATAGAACCATGGGACAGCCCGTACAAAAATCTATAGAAGTAATAGTTTTCGAATTGTTCTTCCCATTTTCCGTCTGCCTTCCAGCTAGTCGAAAAGTAACTTGTTTTGCACCGCTCAGCGCGTTGGGACATTTGACGTGAATCGCCCCATATTTCAGTTAATAGATTTGTCATCAACGTGTATTATCCAAAACTGAATATTTTTATAGTTTCTTTGAACCTTGATCATTATTAAAATACTTTAGTATATATATACATATATACATATATATAACTGACTTCCAAAAAATGTAATGTTAAAGACCACTTAAAACCACATTTATTTTTAAACCAAAAAAATGTAGGAAACAAGTGCCTGTATATAAAAACTTATGACCTTATTCATAAAAAATAAACAGCTTTAAAAAAGGTTTATAAACTGTAAAATGTATGAAAACGTCATTTTATAAAGCCCTTTAAACCTACTTTCTTTTTTATTTTTTATTGAGGATGACTGAAAATATTTCAATTTTTACACAACGTTTCAGAAATATAAACAGAAATATACGTGCGACTGTATTAGTGTTGTTAAAAATATTAGGTTATTTCTGAGCACGCGGTCTCTTGGGCCGGGGCCTTCTCGGATCGAGGCCCGTGACATTTTGCCACCCTATCCACCCTATAGTTACGCTTTATTCTCTAGGCTCCTCAGAATCTCCTAGCCTCCATCACGTCAGTTTCGACGTCATTTGAAGATCAAGAAGGGAAAAATTCATTGAATATACTTGAAAAATCACGGGGGTTTCGACTCGCTGAACCCGAATCTCAGGTCCGTTTACTTCCATAATATCAGGTTCTAGGTCATTTAAGGGACAAATAGAAAAAAAATATTAATTAAAAATACAAATTTATATACATAGGTTTTTGTTGTCCTGAATTCGAATGTGGGCTTCCTTGATTCTTCACGGTCATCTAGAGGTCATCTTAAAGTCAAATTCGGAAGAATTGTATTGAATTGTCTGGCTTATTCAATGAAGTTTCCCCTTCAAATGACCTCCAACCTGACGTGATGGAGGCTAACTGAACTCAAATTCGCATTCGTCAAAAACAAAGGGATATATAAATAGTTTTGGTTTTATATGCAAAAACTTTTTGTTTTCTAAACTTGTGTTTTTAACCGACTTCAAAAAAGGAGGAGGTTGCCAATTCGTTGGAATATTGTTATTATTTTTTTATGTATGTTACCGCATAATTTTGGACAACGTTTACCAATTTCTATAATTCTATTTTTAAAGGAAAGGTGGTACCTCCGAGGTGGCCCCATACTAATTTGGTTTAGATCCGACCATTGGATTCGAAGAAATTAACGGTACTCTTAAATTTCTACATGGGAATTGAAGTCGGTTTTATTTTTTGCTTAAAAAATACTTGTTTCAATAAAAACTTTTATACTTTTTTGGTATAACCAAATCATCGTTCGATTTTGATGCAACAAGTTGAAAATGCATGCTTCCTTTTAGCACATACCAACATACATATAATGTACATGTGTACCCGTGTGTGCGTAAGGGTACACGTGAAGAGCAACAGTTTGCTTTCATCACCTCCACAAATGTCCTCTGTTTAGGCACGAATGTTGCCTTCCTCTTATGGGTGGCGCGTGTCGCTGTCCTATTGAAGCTAATATTCATGATGGCGTCGATAGTTGTAAAGCGTTTAACTACAAACGTTAAAAACAGTACGACGACGCCACCAATAGATATAACTATAACGCACAATGCAGCGTAATCAACACTCACACTTACCCTTCGGGTGGCGGTCGCCTGTCAGCGGAATGGGTGCCGAAGTAAGGTCTGGGGGAGTGTTGTCGGCGCAACAGCTTGTGGATATAAAGCCCTGCGAAACAGACGAAGAGGCTTATCGGCCAACTGTCTGATTGACTGACTGACTTGGCTGCCGTGCTGCTTGCTGCCTGTTGGCATGTTTGGTTACTTCTTTCTGTTTGTTGTTCTCGGTTTGTGCTGCCATTGTATCTCTTTGCTACTGTAACTGTTATATTCTTTGGTTCTACTTACATATGCATTTTTGATTTATTTATTTTTATTTTTTTGTGAATAGTTTGTAAAAGTGTGAAAAGTGGTGGTAATAGGGTGGGGGAGAGAAGACGAAGATGTCTAACGAGTGCGTCGACGCACAGAACGCAATCGTATTGAATGTGATGCTTATATTTTGGGTATAAAAAGGCGCGTAGCGATTTGGAAATTTGCAGTTTTCTTAGCGCAGTGCGATGCGCTCAAAACCTACTTCTCAGCAAAACGGAACCGGAAATAAGGCGGATAAAAATTTGAATTGTGATTTGAAAGCGAACTCTTCCTGATTTAAGTTTATAGCTGAAGCTGAAGTGTGAAAATTTTTTTTATTGTTGTTATTGTTAAAAATAGTGTTTGAATAAAATATTTTTGTTGTGTTTTTGTGTGCTACTAGAAAAAATTACCTTTATTTGTTGACAAACCTGCAAATACAAAACTCAATGTAAGTTTATTTTAAATTAATCAAAGGCAATCGAATACACCGTCGGCAATTGTAACCAATCAGTAAAAAATAAATTTACACTGTCCTGCAGTGAAATTCTGACAGTCCCTACGCTAAATTTTCGTCTCCAAAATTTTTTAAATGAAAAGCGTTAGGGTCTAAAAGTGTAATGAAAAAGTAACAGATTTAATGTGCAATCAGCCAAATCTAAACGTAGATGTTGCATGTAGTTAGGCGCGCCTGCCATTTTTTGGCGATTTTTGCCGATTAAAATTAGCTACAGTGAATATTGGAATTCGGCTGCTGTACAATGACGCGGAGGCTATGGAAATATTAGAAACAAATAAACATGAATGCAAAATTTTAGAATTTAAGAAAAATAGAACATTGGATCCATTTTATGACCCCCAACCAGTGTTAACAATTAATTATATTGTTATTATATTGTTCGAGTTTAAGAAATAAAAATTAAGAATAATGATTAACATTAGGCATTAATTTTTTCGCTCAAGAGAAATTATTATTACCTTATTTTGATTTTTTTTTTTCGATTGAAAATAAGGACTATTTTATAATTTTTATGTTTTTTGCTCAAAGATAACAATTGCCACTGTAGGCAAAATCTTTGGTTTTGAAATGACACAAAAGAACGCCGAAACACGTGAATTAAATTTTGAGTCGTAGATTACGAATCTGTATTCTGTTTTTCTAGATGGGGTCGTCATTTTGCCAGGACATTTTCTTTTTGATGAAAATCAAACCTTAACAGGGAAAAATATTTAAAAATTACAGATTTTTTCTAAGTTTTTCATTTGTCTTTTTACAAAAAATCAAGCTACTAATGAAAAAAATCGATGGATAATTAAAGAAGTTGTGAATGGTGAAGCGAAAATGTGTAATAATATTTTACTAAAATATGAGCAGGAAAGAATGTTACTCATACGCCATGTACTAAATATTATGTTACTTTAATGTTTTCTCCCTTCATTCATAATGCCAACTTAAAATTAAATTTTTTCCCTTCATTCACAATGCCAACTTAAAATGAAAATTTCTAAAATTATATCCGTAATCTGCGACCCAAAATTAAGTTTACGTGCCTCGGCATTTTTGTGTGTTATTTTTACGCCCTCGCTCAGAAATAAAAATTATAACTAAGTTTTATATTCTCATTTGAAAGTAATGATTCGTGATCGCTAGCGACACTACAATAAAAAGAATAAGGATTCAAAAGTTTTGTAAAAAAACCCAAGTTTTAAGTGGAAAATTTAAATTTAATAATATTTTTATCTCTGAGCGAACAGGTAAAAATCATAAAGTAATAATTATTTTGATAATTCCAGTTAAGCGAAAAAAAACTCAACAATAATTACTATTTCAGAGCGAAAAAAAATTAAATAATTATTAAATTCTGATTTAGTAAATTTTACCCATAGTGATTACCATACCTGGTTTCCATCTACAAACATATGTTTAAAGTGTTTTGATAAAAACGCGATTTCTAGAGATAAATACATAACCTGGTCTAGCATAAAATTGGACATGAACTGAAAGAAAAAAATAATTTAATTAAAGAATTTTCCATATTAATTTCCTATTAAAAACTGCCTCAAGCTCAATAAAAATTGTTCGCAGACATAGGCGGACTCAAAGTTTATAAAATAATTAGGTAAGTATGATAACATCGGCACTCATAGACAAAAAATAGTAGCATTTTACACGGATTATTTTTAGCCAAAATTTCTTGCGTTCAAGAAGTTAAAATTTAAAATTAATACGAAAAAATTAAACCAATTGACATTTCTTAGAGAAATATGACGAACTTATTTGAATTTGATGCTTCCATTGCAAAATATTACATATCGCACACCGTCTTCAAAAGAGTCACAACTCAAAATAATACGTTCGTCAGAAAATGCGAAAAACTATTTCGTAGCATATGCTAATTATATGGGCAAGGGCGACTTTAGTTTAGGTTTTTCTTTAACAAATTATAACAACAATTTGCTCCAGCTTTTGCTGAAAGGTAAATAAAAGCTTTGTGTACATTTTCAGCGCATAATTTCAAAAATGCCAAATTTTTAGTTGTGACTCTTTTGAAGACGGTGAGCGATATGTAGAATTGTCGAGACACTTCAATAGCTTGTTACAACTATTACGTCACCAGCAAGCAAATTGAACTTGTGTACTAGCTACAGCGTATTTACTCCATATAATATGTTTTTTTTTTTTTCTTTTTGAACAAAAGAAAAGTGGACTCTTTTGCACTAACTAATGTCAAAGAATCGAAAGAACAAAATGTGGAATTTGACACTTCACAAAAATCACAAATGTCCCTCTATAAATAGATTGCCGTTTCGGACCACTGTGGCGCTGATGTCAAAATAAAAAGTGCGATCGGCATTCAATGCATGCTTTTTTCCCTTCTTATTGCAAGAACAATATTAACAATAGAAATTTTAGTAACGTAACGCCAGGTAACGTCACGTCAGATAATTCAGCTGATTAAGCATAAAGCAGACAAGATATCTAGATTTAAAAACTTGGAAAATTAACCTTAAACATTTCAAATATTACTAAATAGTCTAAATACATATATCGGATTTAAACTTTGGGCAAATAAATTTAAACGTTGGCCAAATAAAATTAATCATTAGGCAAATAAAATTCAACTCCATTGTAGTACTAAAAATGTTTTAAAAACGAAAAAGTTTTTTCAGTAATTTTTCTCAAATCTCTTGATAATACTGAAAATATATTGTATCCTGAAGTCAACAACAAGCCTGCAAAATATTAGTATTTTATTTTAACGCCAAGTGTCCCACAGCACACTAGTCGAATAAGACCAATTCTTTTTAAAAATTCTGGGTTCAGCAAAATGGATGTTGCATATTATTAGATAATGAATCCGTTTACGCAAAAGATAAAGTCAAATTTCATTTCTCGCAGCCCTTTGCTTTATCGTTAATCTCAAAGTTATCTATTTTCAATCAAATTGTAATTGTTCTCTTGATAAATGCACTGGCCTATAGTCAAAAGAAGTAAAGAACAGCACTAATATTGCAGGCGTGCATTTAGGTCGCTGGTTCCAAATATTCTAATCTTTTTTCAATATTAGAAAAGCCATTATTTTTCATCATCGTGCAAAAATTTTGTTTATGCAAATGAGTATGGAAACACTGAACAGGCACCACTTCTAGAACAAGTTTCCTCATAATTATGCTTACAATATAACATTTGTAAATATAGGAAAATGACAAAAAATGTTGTTCAACATTTTTTTTATTTTAAAATAATTTGTTTATAATCTGAACGATTTTCATAATATTGTTATCAAAAAATCAGAAATAGTAAATCTCGCCTTCAATTTGGTAATTATTACGTACCGATCGAATAACATTTACCAAAGTTATAGCGAAAAACTTAAGTTGATCTCCAGTTTTTTTTTTTTTTAATTCATCTTCAATTGTATAAATAACCTTTAAATGAACGAACCAAAAAGTGTGTCAGGAAGTTAATTTTTTCGTTCAAGCTGAATGCAATGCAATATCGTCCAATTGGAGAGTCCTAAAAAGGATTACGCTAAAGGCTATTGCATTTACCTACAGTCACTTTTTCACATAATGGAATTAACTAAAATATTTATGTATATCTAAACGCTTATTGCACGTCCCCTACTATCATATAACGATAAATTTAGAAACCGCGAAAAATGTGCTTCTTCGGTGACTAATGAAACCATTCCGCGCCAATTTTCAAGACTGCATAAATGGACTTAAACTTATATGCTTGAAACTACTCTTAAGTTATCAAACGATTCCTAATCTTTGACAATACTTGTTTGACTTCATTCACCACGATCTTGAAAACTGACCAAATCGGCGTGACCAAGTCCATGGTTCTTTTAATATTATATAAGCATCCGAAAACATCGGCCGCTGTGTACGCCTTCACTCATCAGCACCTGGGTTCAAACCCTGGTCAAAGCAACATTGCAAAAAATACAGAAGAAGGTTTTTTCTTAACAGCGGTCGTCCCTCGGCAGGCAATGGCAAAAGTGTTTTTCTGCCATGAAAAACAGCTTCTCATAAAAATACAATCGCCGTTCAGAGTCGGCGTAAAACTGTAGGTCCCTCCGCTTTGTGAGACAACATCAAGGCGCACGCCACAAGTCGGAGGAGAAGCTCGGCCAAACACTAACATATGTGTAAGCGCCAATCTATTATTATTATTAAGCATCCAAAAACAATAAAACGTTTGAAATAAATCTCGTCTCATTTTTTTGTATTTTTTACTTGGTTGCTGAAGTAATGAAGCATTGAAAATTTATAATGGAAACTTATAGTTTTTGTAAGTTTTATCTTAATATCTTAAAAACTTGTAGACTTATTGAAAATAAAATATAAATTTAATAACCCTTAATTTGATATATCGTCGTTTGTTTATAACAATTAACGCATTCCATATATATTACAAGCCAAAGTTTAATTTTCAAAATTCATACACTTTGATTCAATGGCGCGGGCAAAGATAAGTTTTAAATTAATCTTTCGTGCCCAATAACAATTGGCTTAGACCAAAAACATCATAACATTACTATTTCAATACCGTCAAATGCCTTTTATTTTCCCCCATACAAAGTCGACCCAGCCTAATGTACATACATATGAATGCATAATACGCGAAAACTCATCATATCAGATCTGTAACGTTCGTTCGATTTTACAAAATATATAAAATTAAAGGGCTTAGCTTGTGGATGTGAAATAACTTCATATTTTTTCAAAAAGAGATGCCACCTGATACAAGTAATTTTTCAAACAAAAAACAAAACCGACTTTAATTCTCATATAAAAAATTAAGATTATCGTTAATTTCATCACAATTCAATTATCGGATCTAGTATGCGGTACCACCATTCCGATGAAAAAAGAATTATCTAAATCGGTTAACGTGGTCCAAAGTTATGCGGTTAAATACATACAACAAAATATATATTC